GCTGGGCTGTGCGCATGAGGACAGGCTCAGCTGCCTTGCTCCTTGCCTTCGCCACAGGCCAGAGCCCAGTGCAGAGGGGCGCTCAGTAAATATCTGTGGTAGGAGAGAGAGAAAAAGGGTGCACATTCTAGGGAGGAAAATATCAGAGCGACAAGGGCGGACAGAGGCTATGGGGTGGGTTTCTGTGCTAGTGCCTCACCCCAGGAGTGCAGTGCCTCACCCCAGGAGTGCAGTGCCTCACCCCAGGAGTGCAGTGCCTCACCCCAGGAGTGCAGTGCCTCACCCCAGGTCGTTATTTGTTGTGGATAAAACCTGGTGCTGGGAAGGGGCAGCAGCCGTCCCTGCTGCAAGACCTCTGCTGACCTAGTCCTGGCATCTCTTCCAGTGCCCCAGGGTCAACGGTGTCAAGGCACACACCAGCAAGCACAACCGGAGACAGGTGGTCCTGGACCTGCAGATATGGTGAGCCCTCTTGCCCGTGGGGGCCAGGCGTGGGGGCCGGGGGCACACTCTGGGGGAACAGCCAGTTTGAAGATGGAATAGCATATATACTCTAATTTACCTCTCAGAGCAGATACAACACCCCCCCTCCCCACCTGCCCTGGGCTAGAGCACAGGTTCCCTGCTTGGGATGCGGAAGTTTCAGGAGAATGGATGGTCCCGGGGAGCCACCACCATCTGACTCCTCAGCCCAGGCCTGGCTTCTCCCATCGGACCGGCACTAGGCATGCTCTGGGCTCCGAGGTCAGGCAGCAGAGCTTCCCTAGAGGCCAGGGCCAGGTCACCAGGACCAGCTGCCTCAGACGGGGTGAATGAGGGAGAAGGGTGACAGGAAGACGCGGGACTTGTGGTGAGTCTCAGGGAGCTCTGAGCACAGGTTGCGGGACAGCAGCAGGAGAACTGGGCCCTGTGGCACCTCAGAAAGACTAAAGGATACGAAGACACATGAGTGACTCGTTGAGTGGGCTGGGCAAGGGCACCTTTTTGAATGAGGTCTGTAATAGGCCTGAGATGGTGAGAAGAGAGATGCAACCCAGGAAGTCTTTCTGGAGGTGGTGAGATTTGAATTGTGTTTTAAAGGAACAAGGATCAACTCCTGAGGTTCCAGAATGTTGTCATTCCTTTCCAGTGTCTCATATGTACTGTCCTTAGCCCAGAGGCTGGCACTGAGGGCACACAAGGAAGACAGGAGTCAGCTCTGGGAATACCCATCCCCACTTGGGGGCTGGTCTCAAGTGTGTTGGGATGGTGATAGCTATTGGGCATCCTGGCCCCAAGGCACTGCCAGATCTTTATATGAATATTTAGGGCCTGTCAAGGTCATCTGGCCTCCCCACCCAGCTTCCCAGGCAGCTCCTGGAGTCCCCAGGTTTTCCTCCAACCCTTTCAGGGGGCACTCAGCATTTCTGGGACATCAGCTCCCCTGCCTGTGTCCTCCAGATATTTGATGGCTGCCTTCTCCCTCCCCTTAGTCGTCTTTAGTCCTTTCACAGGGTCTTGATCTTTACCTCAAAGGCACTCATTCTGGGCTCCCTGTGCCCGTCACTTGGCAAGAGCCACCCGCAGGACTCAGGCCCCTAAGAACATTGCCTTTTCCCCCTCCACCACCCCCAGCAACAGCCTGGGTGAAAGGTTGGATGTAAGCAGTGTGGCTGCTCTGTGTCCTCGGGGAAGAGACCTGGGCAGAGATGGGACAGGAGCATAGCAGTGGCAGAGGAGTGGGCACTGTGATCACCAGGAGCCCCTCCTTCACGTCCATGGGGTGTCATGGGACAAGGTGGTGCCCAGAGTCACTAGCATCATGGGCAGAGGTGGGGATGTGCATGAGAATTCTGGGTGCAGGGACCTGGGGCTCTGCCCCCTAGGGTCTGGGCCTGGGTCAGTGTCTGTGCAGAGCCAAGAAAAGCTGAGGCTGTGAGGGAGACTGTATCTGGATGAGGCAGGGCTTGGGCTGGGCAAGTTTCCCAACCTGAGGGGTAGACCTGCCCCTCTTCCTGACCCCCCTTCTCTCTCTCCACTTTCAGCTACATTGGGGACTGTGAGATCAGCGTGGAGCTTCAGAAGATACAGGCTGGCGTGAACGGGATCCAGGTGAGCGGGGCCCGACAGGACTGCCCCCCATTCCTGTCCCTGGGGGGGATTGGAGCAGGCAAGAACAGGTGCATGCTGGAGCAGGCTGAAGAAGGGGGTGATGACACCAAACACAGGCTGGTCATAATTGAGGGACTCCAGGCCCAAGTTCACACGGCTAGGAAGTGACTGCTAGGCCTCACCCAGTTGCTGCTCAGCCCCATGGCACTACACTCCCACGCCTGTCTCTCTCTTTCTAAAGTCCCCCTGAGAGAGACTTCGGTGGCTCAGGGAAGAAAGAGGTTCTGTTTATGGGATGATGCAGACCCCATGTTTGAAACTGAGGTGGATCGGGGAGGTGGAATTTCTCATAGCAGGAGTATAGAGGAGCTGAATGGGACCCACTCCTGGGCCCCCACTGGCTGGGCTGACCTGAAATGTGGGTGAGGCTGCAGGCCCCTTGACCCAGCGTACCACAGGAAGGCAGTGGGGCCAGCTCATGGCCCATGGGGAGCTGGCAAAGGGGTGTTTCTGATTGTGGTCCCTGCTGTGACAGCAGACAGTCCTGACACTTGGGGGTGGCATGGGTATGAATGAGATGGCAGTGGCCTGCAGCAGGTGTGGGAAGAAGGGAGGCTGAGTCCCTCGTGGGGCCCTCTGTGCCATCCAGTTGCAAGGCACACTGCGGATCATCCTGGACCCCCTCCTGGTGGACAAGCCCTTCGTGGGAGCCGTGACCGTGTTCTTTCTTCAGAAGCCGGTGAGTCCCGGGGATATGAGGCAGGCCTGCCACTCCCTGGGCGTGAGCACATGCCTCCTGGGCCCCGGGCACTGGGCTTGAGCCAAGAATGGAGATGCCTAAGCCCACCGAGACCCAGCACGCCACACTCCTGTGCAACCTAAGTAGCCTGAGGTACCCGACTCTGCTCTCCCCAAGACCAGAAACAGCTCAGAGCAGTGGCTTGCCAGGGTCTCATGGGATCCATGTGCACTGGCCACTCCTGTGTCATCCTGGCAAGAAAGCAGCCCTGGCCTATCCCAAGCCACGGCCTGAGCAGGACTAGAAGGTGCCCTCACCTGCCTGACACCCCTGCAGCAGGCACCCCTCAGCAGACTGGGTTCTCCATGTGGGTGGGTGTGAGGCGCTCAGGGTTCTCAGTCCTGGGCTTCTGGCCCCCTCTGCTCTGCAGCACCTGCAGATCAACTGGACAGGCCTGACCAACCTGCTGGATGCACCAGGGATCAAGTAAGTGCCTGTGAGAGCCACCAGGCAGAGCTCAAACGCAGGGTCCTTCCCACTGCGCAGTTAGTCACCAGAGGTTCACAGTGGCTGCCCTCCCTCCCCACTCCCTGTGTGAGGAGTGGGGGCAGAAACCGAGTTCTCCCTCTGGGAGAAAACGTGTTGGGGTGTGGGAGTGGGAGGCTAACAGTGTTGTTTGGCCTCTGTGGGCAGGCACTGCCCCCGAACACACACACACATACACACACACGTATGCACACACGTATGCACGCACATGCACATGCACACACGTGGGAGAGCAGGGGGGAGCAGCTCTGATCAGATGAGATGTCCTAGAGGAGGCCTGCCGGGTGGGCTGTGGAGGCTCCTGGCTCTGTAGTTAGCAGCTGTGTGACTTTAGACAAATTACTTCACCTCTCTGGGCTCTTCCTCAGTAAAAGCAGAGCCCGGTTCCTCTATCTTGGGGTCCCTGGGAGAACACTGAGGTGTGTGTGGCGGTGGCAGTGGGTGTGTTCACACGCCCGTGTCTCCTTTCACCCTTTTCACCAAGTGTGTGGAGAGAAGCCCATGTGGCCGTCCCCACCATGGTCACAAACAGTTGGGGAGGGTGCCAGTGAAGATGAGCTGGTCTGAGAAATCCCTCCTTCCCTGCGCGGGCAGGGAGGGGCTGCTGCACTCAGAGCCGCAGGCCCCCGCAGGGAAGGGCGCAGCCCCGCAGGGATGGACAGCTGGACCAGGCTGGGCACACGCCAGCTGGCTCGCCAGGCTTGGGCCGCTGCCCCCACCTGCGGGCAGGACCACTCACTTGCTCATTGGGGACATTCCCACCCATCTCGACCCCCTGGACCCAGAATCCAGTCACAGATTTTTTTCATTCAAAAAATAGTTACTGAGCACCTACTGTGGCCAGTCCTCTTGTAGGGACTGTCCCTACTCCCTCTAT